CTCTCCCAGCTGGAGCAGCTGCAGACCCGCCCGCCCTCGGCCCTGTGCCCTCCCCGGTCCCTCCCACAGGGTCCCCCACCGCCACGGCTCTAATGTCACCTCCCTGGGGCTCAGCGCCACCAGAATGCTTACAGATATCGACTGCCCCCATTGCGGTTCCAGGGTGTAAACCCACCATGGCCGCCAGGCCCTGCCTGCTGGGCTCCTGATGAACACCAGCGAGGAGGGCGAAAGAACCAACGCCAAGCCCCAGTGACCCGCAGAGAGCTCCCGACATGCCAGGGTCTCCACCTCAGCACAGTGGACGCTGGGGTCAGGTCACTCTCTGGCAGGTGGTCCTGGGCACTGTGGGCAGCTGAGCAGCATCCCTGGTCCCCAGGCCCTCGATGCCAGGAGCAGCCCCTGTCGTGACAACCACAGATGTCCCTAGACACCACCTAGCGTCTTCTGGAGGAACAGTCACCCCAGGTGGGAACCGCCGCTGACACTCGAGTGCCATTCCCAGCTCTTCTAAGGGCTCAGGAAAGATCTGGAGACTCGGAGGGAACCAGAGGCTGAGTCCCAGCCTGGATCCCGGCCACTCTCCAGCTTACCCCCAGCTGACAGGCAGTGGCCGGTGGAAACCGGGACGGTGCGGAGATCTTTGCTAAGGCCAGCAAGGCTCCCTCGGGCACCGGCTCCTGCACACTGCTGGGGAAAGCTGAAGGAGGGGCTGTTGGTGCCATAGGCAGGGCCACGAGGAGGGGAGGGCACTACAGGCTCTGCGGCTCCCCACGGGACAGGGTGGCGGGCCCTTGGCAGCTGTCTGTCCCCATGGGCTGGTGGGTAATGGGGCTCAGGCACCCCCTCACCCCCCATCAGCACTCTACTGGAAAGCTGCTGGAAATCCCAGCTCTTACATCAAATCACCCCAATGGCAGAGGCAGAAGAAGTCCAGAAAGTGCACACGCTGCAGGCCGACCCAGGCCGCAACAACAGACAAACCCTAACCGCATGGGGCCGATGGGGCCAGATGGGGCCCCGGGGGCCCCCAGTTTGAGACCCAGGCAACGAGTGCTCAAAATTAGGGGAGAGAAGCGATCTGGCTTCCCCAGGGAGCCAGCCCTTGCGCCTCCTGGGGCTGGAAGCTCAGGAGGGGCGCATCCGAGTCCTCACACGCCCACCTGTGCAGGCTACGCTCAGCCACTGAGCCTCGGGTGGGGCCCAGAGCCGCTGCTCTCCAGGATCCCTCTCTGGGAAAGTGGGCAGGGGGAAAAGGCCTGCTGCCAACGGAGCGGGGGCCGGCGGGACACAGAAGGGACAGCGTCTCAGGCGGGACGAGGAGGCTGTCCCTGGAGCAGGGGGGCTGCGACCGAGGAGTCGAGACAGGCCACGAGCCCTGGGCCAGGGTGCCCTGCCTCCGCCCCAGTCCTCGGGGACGTTTCTCTGCTTCAGCAGGCCTCCGTGAGAGCCCCACAGGGGCCCGCGGCAAAGACCTTCGGGTGCCCTTGCAGGCCCTGGAATGCCAGGAAGGCCCCTCCCCCACGCTCCACCTGTCCCGGGCCCTCAGCCTCCCAGGGATGGCGGAATGTCACCTTGGAGTAGGGACAGGGAAGGCAGCCTACCTACTGTGTGCATCTTCCCAGGGGGCCTGGCGCTCCTGTGGGGCAGGAATCAGGACCCCGCGTTCCAGAGGAAGGAAGCGGGGCCAGAGGGGGAAGGAGGGGGTCAGAGCAGAGTCAGGCGGACGCCAGCATCCCGACTCCCCCCCACGCCCCGAATCTGAGTGCCCAAGGCGTGAAGATAAGCGGGCACAGCCCCCGTCAGGCCTGGGGGCCGGCACTGGACACGAGTCGCTCGTTGCCACAATGGAACCAGACCTGAGCAGGGGCTGCGAGCCTTTCTATCAAGGGCCGAGGATCGATCCCCTTGCCTGGCCGGCCACACCGGCTCCGTCCTGACTCCACAGTTCCGCTGTCAGACAACGTCAACCACGGGGCATGGCTGGCTGCCAATAAAACTTTATTTACAACAACGGATGAAGGGCCAGTCCCAGATGAAGGAGCCTTAGCAAGTCTAACGCCCCCAGGTCCCAGGGCCCTGCTGAGCCCAGGGGATCGACTGCCATGGGCATGAGGGGGCTGCGACCCACGGGCACACAGCAAGCACTGCTGAGGCAGCAGTCACCTCAGGAGGGCCAGAGTCCACCTGGCAGGGGGCGCGTCTCCTTCGGCCGATTGCTACTGCGGCACAGAGAGCACACGCCTTTCCTCCTGGGGCAGCTGCCCAGTCCTATTTCTCAACAGGAGCGAACAGGAAGTTAGGAAACGAGAGCCAGGGCCAGGCTGTACCAGAGATGGGGAGCCCATGGCCGGGCTCTGGGACAGGGTGTGGAAGACACCGGGCAGGCCACGGGCAGGAGGAGCCCCGCCCCCACAGCACCTGCCACCCTCCGGCTTCTCCTGGGGCAGTGAGGACTCGCCCCACATCCGCACAGGGACGCCTCCTGGTGTGACCAGCACGGGGATGCGGGGGTGCGGGGGTGCGGACGTGCGAGCCAGGCCTCTGCCTCCCAGCCCTGCGCATGGGGTACACTTGGCTAAGATGGGTGGGCGCCCCAGCAGGCTCTCTCGGCCTCGAGAGATGCCCCATGTGGGGCAGATGGTGTCTGGGCTGCTCACTAGGCCCAAGGATGATGGGAGGCTGGGGAGGAGGGCACGTGGGTGGAGCTCCAAGTCAGAAAAAAGAATGAGGAGTCCCAGAACAGGGGCAAAAGGCTCGGAGAGGAGGAAGAGAAGCCGAGGGAGAGGAGGGAGGAGGGAGAAGGCCGGAGGGAACGCAGGTGCCCCAAGGACCCGCAAGGGAGGAGAGGGCGGCTTGGGAACCAGGAAGGCCACGCCACCCGGCACCTCAGATTCAGTGGCATTTCCTGGGCGGGTCTGGGCGGAGACAGGAGGCCGCAACAGGTGCAGGCAGGGCAGTGCTGAGCAGGCCAGGGGACACGCGGGGTTGTCCGGGCGCCCAAGGGGCCAGACAGAGAAGCTGGGTGTGCTGGAGGGGCAGGGCAGGCGGCCCTTAGTGAGGCTCCGAGTGAGGGTAGGGACAGAATGATGGGGCCGAGTGGAAGGAACCGAGACCCAGGATCTGGAGAAACTGGTTCTATCGAGTCCTAACATCTAGGCCTTCTGGCTTGTGGATTCCTCTGGAAAACCAACAAAAACTCTAGGCCAGGACGCAGCCTCAATCACACATGGCGACCCGAGTTTATTAAAATTAAATAACACCAAAAATTCTCTTCCTCCATTGCATGAGCCGCACCTCCAGTGCCCCGTGTCCAGCTGTGGCCGGTGGCTCTTGTATCAGACGGCAGAAATACAGAACTTGTTCATGGTCAGAGAAAATCCCACTAGTCAGCGACGAGAAAGACCGTTCTCCCAGGAGAATGCCAAACAGCACACAAAAACGTGCCCACACATCGCCCAGTGACCCCTGGGCTGACAACCGCTGCTCTGAACAGAAATGACGTAACCTTGTCATGAGACGGGATCTGAGGAGACACCTGGCCACGTCTCCGGAGGCTGGGGCAATCCTAGGGCCTGGCAGGGGCTGGGGGTCAAGGGGGCTCAGGCTGGGACTAAGCTGCTCCAACAAGAGAGGCCAGTCTGCGAGAACTGAGGGGACCTTTCAGAGACAAGGGGGCCAGAAGAACTGCATGGGGCTCCTTTATGAGGAAGTCAGGCCTTGACTCGAGGGGACCTAAGGCATCAGGCTGGAAGAGAAGCCAGAAGGTTCTGGAACACCAGATACAGCTACATAGTTGGGAGAAGAGGAGGGAATTTAGGGTGTCTTGAGCACTGGAATCAGAACACCCCCCAGGCAGGTGAGGAAGTGGGGGTGGGGGACAAAAAGCTGCAGACGGTCCAAACCTGGGGGTCAGAGACAACCCAGAAATCCTGGGGAAAGGGAACAAGTGGGGTTCCAAGAAGCTGGGGGTGAGAAAGGTGCGCTGAGTGGGGTATGCACCAAAGGTGGGGCTAAGACTTGAGGTCCAAGGGACCCTCGGAATCCTAAAGGCACAGGGACTAAACTGGGGGAGTGAGAGTGGAAAGCTGGCAAGGAATCCTGAGGGCTCTGGCTCACCAACTGGGACCAGGGAGAGCGGAACGCCTGGGGACAGACGGCAGGACACCGGGCCAGGCCCGGGTTTGCCAGCCCTGAAAAGGGCAGAATGTGGAGGATGCCCAAAGACCACCGTGCCGGGCCTGGCAGGGGTAGGGGGCCTGGTTGGACCACGCTGGGCAGCTCCGCCTGGCAAACCCCTAGCACGGAGCTCCCCTCCAAACCAAGCAGCCAGAGCTGGAGCTCTGGGCACAGGGTATGACCCAGTGGGGACCAGCACCAGGGCGGTGTCCGGGGCACGGAGCCTGAGCAGCACGACTCTGGCCCAGCGGGGACTCGGAGAGGGGAACCAGGGATCCAGGAGCGGGGCGAGCTTGGCCTGAGGGTCGGAGCTACGGGTTCCGGGGCAAGAAGGCCTTGTCAGGGAAGGGAGGGCGCCGGGATCCTGGGACACTGGGCGGAGAGCTGGGGGCCTAGCGGGGGTGCCGGTTCAGACTTGCCTGAAGCCCGAGAGGTCGGGCGCCTGGACTCCAACAGGACAGGCCGGAGGGGCGGGTCCTAGGGCCCGTCCTGCCCAGAGACCCGGCTGGGGAAGGGGGGATCTCGGTGCGGGGGGGCTGAGCCCGGGTGCTGTCAGTCACTCAGGTTGGTCTTCTCTCTGCTCTGACATCCTCAGTGCTGACTTCACACTCAGGCTAGTTCTCCTGTGGTTCCCAGACAGCTTCCAGTGGCGATTGGAACCCCTGCAGGTCGTACTGCTGCATGCGGTAGACGGTGAACTCGTGCGCCGCGTCGGCGGCGGGCAGCGGCGGCGCCACCAGCAGCAGCACGGCGGGCAGGAAGACGATGAAGCCGAGCGGCAGGCACGACGCCTTCAGCATGTTCTCCAGCACCTCGCCTGCTTCCTCCAGCATCTTGGCCGACGGCAGAGCCGCACGGGGCGGCGGCGGGGACGGGACAGCGGTGGCGGTGGCGGTTCCCGCGGACTCACCTCAGCATGGGTAGCCGGTGGGGTCCTCCGGGCGCCGCGCCGGGCAGCCCGTGTTCGCTGCAGGGTCCTGCGGGCACTGCCGCGGACAGCCCCCCGTCTGCCGCGCTGCCTCCTGGGACATGTAGTTCTCAGGGCGCGCAGAGCCACCTGGGAGTTGTAGGCCTGCTCTTTCACTCCCCCGCGGAAGCCGTGGCGGGCTGTTTGGTTAGAACTGCTGAAGTTTCACATAAGCTCCAAGTCAGAAAACATGGCGACTCAAAACAGAACTATTTGCAGTGGAACTTATTTAAACCCTATCTTTGTCGTGGAAGGAGGGGGGAGGCGCCTGCGAGGCCAGGACGTGACCTCTGCGACCAAGGAAAAAGTCGCGAATGGAGGAAGCGAGGAGACCCGCTTGGTGCGCTAAGCCTCCTGGGAGCTGTAGTCCCACTGAACAAGCAAATGGGATTGTGGGAGTCGTAGTCTTCCTGGCAGAAGGCTGAGAAAAATCACTTAACACGCCAAAGGAACGTAAATGTTAAGCTCCGCGAGGGCGAAGACTTTGGTCTGCTTTGTGCATTGATGTATCCCCAGCACCTAACACAAGGCCCGGCGCCGAGTGGGTGGGCTGTACAATTTTTGGATGAATGAATGAAAGAAGAAATCATGATAGGCGGTTTCTAAAGGGGGGACGCAGTGGAGTATGGGATTTGGAGTCTGGAGCCTGGAGTTCGTGGAGGGGGTCGGTGACATGGTTCTGCTTATTCTTTTTGAGGGCATACTCAGTAAAAGATTATTTGTTGTTCATCCGAAATTCACATTCAACTGGGTATCCCAAAGTTGTATTTTCTAATCTGGCCACCCTAATAAGCCCCTGTCTCAGGACCAGGGATCTTAAGGAGTAACTCACACCCCCTCTTACCGATGGCGAGACTGAGGCTACCGGGCACAGAACACAGCAGCTGGGGCCTCCAGCGAGTTGACATGCCAGGCTCTTCTTGCTGGTTAACAACATTGAGTTCAAGTCCCGGCCCCTCCACTCCCCAGTTCTGTGACCTTGGCCTAGGCACTTCGCCTCTCTGAGCCTCAGTTTCCTGAGCTGTCAAATACTGTAAATAATCAAACGCTCTCCTCTCCACCCAGGGTTGTGTAAGAATTCAACCAGTTGATCTGCATAAACTGACTCAGAAAGAGGAAGGCACACATGAAGCACTCAGTAAGCGTTGATATTATGAGAACACACCCACTTGTGCAGTCTCAGGGTGTAGCATCGCTCTGCGCCACCTTTCTGCATGGCTAGCTCCTTACCGAGATGATGTCGGGCATTTCTTACCATGGTGTTTGTCACCCCCACCAGAGTGGGACCTTTATGAGGGCAGAAACCAGGTTGTTTATAGCTGGAACCTCAGTGCCCGGAATAGAGCCTGACATACAGTGGTTAAGTGAATGAATGAATAAATGAGTGAATGAACCAATTAAAGAAAGCATCAATGCACCAGCCCACCCATCCTAGCTACGTGCCCTCCTTCTGGCCATTCCCCAGGCCTCTCCAGGGAGGTCCTATGCCCAAGGAGTCAGGTGTGCCCTGGCAGGGCAGTGAAAGAGACGAGAACTGATTTTGGGCCTTGTGCTCATCATCACCAAACATTTATTATCTACTTCCGTCCGTCGCGTCCCCCCACCCCCCACTCTCCCAGAGCTGCCCATACCACCTCCTCTCCTGAGCCTTTTTCTGTCTGTAAAATGGAGAGGTTCAACTAATCTTGCTCTGTGGAAATGAAACCACGGGCAGCCCAAAGAATGAAATGCAACATGTGTTCTGAGTTTTCCGAGGAGGAAAGGAACCGGTATTCACTCATTCATTCATTCATTCATTCAAGAGGCAGTAACAAGCAGGGATCAAAAAGCCACCTGCCTGGGTTTGAATCCCAGCTCTGCTGCTTCTCAGTTGCGTGTAACTTACCTAACTTGGAGTAAGTTACCTAACCTCTCTGGGCCTCAGTTTCTCCATCTGGGCAATGGAGTCAATGGAGAGGTTTTGTAAGGATTGAATGAGATCATACAAAGGTGGTTGCAACACCACCAGGCACAGAGTGATATATATATGTCTTTGTTGTTATTCTTATCACTCATTTAAAAGCGTACCCATAATACTTTGAGGGCCTTTCTATACCTCACCTTATCAACCTCCCAGGAGGGCAGGGGCTATCAGTGTCCTCATTTGACGGATAAGGAAGCTGAGGCCCATGGTGTGCAGCAGAGCTGGGGAACAGCGATGGGTTACAGACTTCTAAGCCATCTAACAAGCAGAAGTCAGGGTTCCTAGGGACAATTCCACCATTGTCAGGGACGAGGGCTGGGTTGGGGGCGCGGGAAGGGAAGAGGTCCCCGAGGCTCAGAGGAGGGCATGCTGCTGGGTCCAGTGCTCCCAGAGCTCCAGGTCACTGAGTACCTACTGTGTGCTGGGCCCTGTGCTGGGTTCCGGGGACACAGGGGTGACCCAGCAGTGACCCAGACGCTGCAACAATCTCCACTGTCAGAGCCTGCAGTACAGGGGAGGAGATGGATGGGTGACCAGGGGTGACTGGAGCTGCAATGTGACACACAGGCAGCTGTGGGAGTCTAGAGGAGGTCTAAGAGGAGGAGAAATTAGGGGAGACTTCTTGGAATAGGCGAAGCTAAAGCTGAGACCCAAAGGATGGGCAGGGCAGATGGGGCGACCAAGCCAGCTCAACACAGGCCCAGAACGCAGGCTGCCCACTCACCCTAAATTCTACCAAGCCCCCACCCTGCCCACTGCCATCCCAGATAAACATAGCCGGAACGGGCATCGGGAAAAGGTAAGCAGTATTCCAGCTTATGGCACACCCAGACACGTGCCAGGAACTCTATCCAGCCGTGTCCAACAACTTCTCGCGACGGCGAAAGCGTTCTGCGCCTACACAGTCCAAAACAGCAGCCACGAGCCACATGTCACTATTGAGCACTTGAAATGTCGTAGCGTGACTGTTATGGGTTGAATTTATATGTCGAAGTCCTAACCCCGAGGACCTCAGAGGTCACCTTGTTTTGAAAATAGGCCCGTTGTACATGTAATTAGTTAAGGTGAGGTCATACAGGAGTGGGGTGGACCTAATATGACTGGCGTCCTTATAAAAAGTGACAGTCGTGACACAGACAGGCACACAGGAAGGACACCACTCGAACACGAAGGTAGAAATGGGGTGATGCATCTAGAAGCCAGGGGACTCCAAGGATCGCTGGCCACACCAGCATCTAGGAACAGATTCTCTCTCGTGGCCCCAGAAGGAAGCGGCCCTGGTGACCTCGATCTCAGACTTCCAGCCTCCAGAACGGGGAGCGGATAAACGTCTGTGATTCTTCGAGACGGCAGCTCCAGCCAAGCAATACACGGGAAACTGAATTTTACGATTTCATTTCACTTTAATGCTAAATAGCCGCACGGGGCTAGTGCCTGCTCTACCGGACAGTGCGGTAAACGGTTTCCAGTCACCGCATCCCCCATCACGCGGAAGAAAAAACAGAGGTAGGGCGCAGCCCAGCGAGCTCTGCAAGATGGATCCCAGAAGACCCGCGGGCGCTGGCTCGGTCCCGGGAGGATGGCGGGAGAGAATGTTTTACAAGCCAAGGTGGCCACGTACCGAAGGTGTCCGTCACGGCTTCCGTGAGTCCCGTGGGCTATTACAATGCAATTCCAAGTTCAGTTTTTCGGTCCCACTGGCCACTTATCGAGTGCTCGGTAGCCACGTGGGGCTGTCATAGTGGCCGGCACAGATGTCAGACCTTCCACCAACGCCAGACGTTCAGTGGGACGTACTGGATGCCACGCACCAAGGCAAACGCTGTGGGTTCTGACTGTTACCGGCACATTTTACAGGTGGAGAAGGGTGAGGCAGTCGTGGGTGAGGGTCCCAAGGCCAGGACGGCCACACTGCTGCCCTTCCGGTGGCCCCAGACTGGGTTCCCAGAGATGCAGAGCCCGGACGTGGAGGAAAGAGGCCGCCAGGGTTTCGAGATGAGCGGCTGGCGGCGAAAGGGGAAGTGAGCGAGAAGGGGCGGGTGTCAACTGTCGCTGTCCGCCCCCTGCCTGGCAGCCCCGGAATGCTCACGCACTGGGGCAGAGTGGTCCAGTAACTCACGGCTGTGTATACACGCAGAGCCTCAGACAGGCCTGCCACACACGGAGACGCCTGTGCACACGCAGACACGCTCACGGGCACAACGAGTTCTGCCCCCACCTCCATTTCTCTGTCTCTCTCTCTCTCTCTCTCTCTCACACACACACACACATGCACACGCACACGCCACCTGTCCTCACGGACACGCCTCCTCGCATGCTCCCAGCAAACCCACAACCCCGGTGCCATCGCCCCTTTGCACACGCATGAATGAGGGGGAGGCTGAGACATCTCGTACCACCGCTGAACTTCCATGTTGCCAGGGCATCGCCCCCACAGCCTGCCCCCCGCCACCTGGGAGCCCCGCTGAGGCCCAGGGAGGGGCCGGGACTTCCCAGAATCACAGGAGCCAAGGCGTACAGGGCAAGCCCACCTGTCCCCATGCCAGGGCGCTCTCTGTTCCTCTGAGGAGATCCTGACACACCCGCTTGGCGTCGGCAGACCTGGGGGCTGCGGGGAGGACCACAGGGCCTCAGGCTACCTGGCCGGCTGCCCTGCTCCCACCTGTCCATCCGGCCCGCCTGCCGCCCCCTGCACGCTGCTAGGCACATGGCCCGCCCCTCCTGGGCCTCCTCCAGGCCGGGGGAAGGGCCTGCGTGGACACGCACCGGCGGCTGGACCAGCCTCTCTGGCCGTGGCTCAGACGCTCCTCACACTGGAGATGCTGGTCAGGGGCTCCCGCATCCGAAAGCTGAGTGACCGAGAGCCCCGAAAGCTGTCCCTGGGCCTCAGCGAGCTGTCCGTGGTGGAGGCTCCGGAGTGGGCTTCAGCAGCCCGGGCCAGACAGTCCCCGGGCCCTCGCAGGCCCAGCCTGAGGCAGCCGCAGCAGAGGAAGCCCAGCACGGCCCGGCACACCTCCCGGCTGCGGAAGGAGTAGATGAGCGGGTTGATGGCCGAGTTCAGCACGGCCAGCGCCAGGATCCAGTCCATGCCCCGCAGGTACTCCTGTGCCCAGACGTTGGAGCCGAAGATGTCAGCCAGCAGCAGGCCGAAGAGCGGACCCCAGCACACCACGAAGGCCACCAGGATCATGAGCACCGTGTTGAGCAGCCGGCGGGCCTTTCGACGGACCGGGTGCCGCGAGGCCTTCTGCCCGTTGGCCCGCACCACCCGGAAGATGGCCCCGTAGAGAACCGTGATGGTGGCCAGGATGCAGGCGAAGATGACCACGCAGAAGAGGATGTAGGCCTTGGAGTAGAGCGGCAGCAGGCTGGAGCAGCTCTGGAAGGCGCACACGCAGTTCCAGCCGAGCAGGGGCAACAGGCCCAGCAGGGCGGCCAGCAGCCAGCAGAGCCCGATGAAGCCCAGCACGCGGCCCCTCTTCGTGTTCCCGCTCTCAGCCACCGGCCGCACCATGGTGGCGAAGCGCTCGCCGGCGGTAAAGAGCAGGCTAAAGGTGGAGGCGGCCAGGGACATGAAGAGCACACCTTCCCGCAGAAACCAAGAGGCCGGCGCCAGGTGGAAGGTCTGGGGCCCCGACAACAGGACATTGACCAGGTAGGCCAAGCCGGTGAGCAGGTCGCTCAGCGTGATGTTGACCAGGCAGTAGTAGACCCAACGCCTGGACCGCATGCGGGTCACGATGGCCGCCAGCACCAGAAGGTTCTCCAGCACCACCAGGGAGCTCACGGCCACAAAGAGCCCCCGCAGCACCCCCAGGCCCCCGTCCTCGGGCCCGGCCCGGCCCAGCAGCCGGCCTGAGTGATTGTAGTGCAGGACAATGAGCTGGCTGTGCCCACTGGCGGCCAGCTGCTGGCAGGCCTCGGGGGCCTCCGCCGGGGACCCCGTGGTGTTCATGGCAGTCCCCGGGGGCAAACTGAAGCCGGGGTGGCTGGCCCCAGGCAGGGTGGAGCTGCAGCCTTGCCCGGTCTTGGTTTCCTGTTACATGAAATTTCCTGTTATGTTCAAGGTACCCTAGGGTGGGGGTGAGGCCCAGCCTGGGAGGGGCGGCCCAACGGTCGGCTCCTGCCCCGCCCGGGAGGGCGCTGCGGCCACGTGGGCACTAGACCCCCGCCTCTGCCCGCTTCTGTTCCTCGAAAGCCCAGCGGGGCGGGGACCCCATGGGGAGAGGAACGCTCCCCCCAACAGCACCCGCCACGCCTCCTGGCTGGGCAGTCCCCTCCAGGACCAGGCTGCTCCATCACTGTATCCTCAACTGCTCTGACTGTGCTTGGCACCCAGTAGGTGCTTAATAATCGTGTGTCGAGTGACTGCACACGCAGGTGCATGAGCATGGCCAGCTACCTTGTTGAAGGCGCAGATGCAGCCCATTTTATCCCCACGACAGGGCCGGGACGCACCTGCATCATGCCTGTCACAGAAGGGGACCCCGAGGCCCGGAGAGGCAGCACCGCTGACCCGGGTCGCACAGTGGGCAGTGAACACCCACCTCGGGCACGCTTGGCTCTCCAGGGCCAGGACCCTCCCGACCAGTTTCCGGTCGTCTCTCCTGCCCCCTGAGCCGGCACTACTCGGAGCAGAGCTGGGGACCCCCCCCCACAGGGCAGCCCCTCACCTCTGGGGGGAGGAGCTCGCAGGAAAAGTGGGGGTTCACCCCACCCAACGTCCATCCTGACCTGGCTCAGGCTGACTCAGTGAGATGGCTGAGGACAGAGGTGTGGGCGCCAGATGGGGTGGGAAGTGTGGGGCGTGCACACAGTAGAGTCCCCCCTGGGGTCTCAGGGTTGGGCAGGCGCCTTCGCCAGGCCTGCATGGGGCACAAGTGTCCCCACGGGCGGTAGGGTGGGCAGGAGGAGGGTGGGCAGCCCAGGTGCCTGTGCTTGCTGACCAGCTCCTCCCTCTGCTCACTGCTCAGCTCGGGGGGCAGGCGGGTTCCAGGGGAGCTCAGATCGAGGCACTGCCGAGGGAGGCGGTAGCATCTCCTCACTGGAGGTGACCAAGCAGAAACGGATCTGAAGAGGAGGTTGTGGGGGGAGGGGCCGTGCAGGCAGCTGCCCAGGCAGCTGGGGTTTAAGGCCCCGGCTGGGGTGGGAAATGCCACCAAGTGGTTCCCAGGTACCACCCTGCACAGTCGACCCTCGGTCCAGGCCTCACAGCAGACCATCTGATTCGGACACACTCACAGAAGTGCGCTGTGAGTTCTGAGGCTCCATCTGTACCCTGGACTGAGCCCCAGTCCCAGGCTGAGCCCCGATCCTACACTGAGCTTTCATCCTAGGCTGAACCCTGACCCTGGCCGAGCCTATGACCATATGCTGGCTGTGACCCTGCCCCATGACCCTGCTGAGACCTGGCCCTGGACTGAGCCCTGATCCCAAGCCGAGCCCCAACTCTAGTTGAGCCCCAAGCCTTACTAAACTCCGACCTCAGGTCCAGAGTGCAAAGTCAGGGCTGCAGTGGAACGCTATGAGCAAGCAGAGTTTGACTAACGAGGCAGAGCTGTCCAGCGGCGACCTCCCCATGAAGAGCCTGCTGCCTGGGAGCAAGGCCGTCCATGTATGACACCTGCCCGTGTGATCACGATCATCCCTGGGCTGCAGAAGAACGAGCCCCCTCTAGAATCCGGCCTGGAAACACAGCTCCAACAATACACGCGGATACACGCAGAAGGTGATTCACTGCTGTCTGTAAATGCAAGATATTAGAAGCGCCCCAAACATCTGTACACGGAGAGGCTGATAGGTTAGGCTGTACCCAGAGTGTGGCACTACGCACCCGTGAATGGAATGGAGTGAGTTCCAGGTCATATTGGGAAAAAAGACAAAAGAGCACAGGTTGGGGGGTACCATGCAATAAAGAACGGGGGACAAAATAGATACACATCTGCTCATGTTTGCAAAAGGAACACGGGCAAGATAAACCAAGAACTGATGACGTTGGTTACCTACGGTGGGGGGAGGGGAGGGGGCTAGGTGCGATCGAAATTGAAAAGGGGCGATGACACCCTCTGAGTGTCCCTCTTTGCATAGTCTTTAAACTCTATCAATGCTTCCTATGGTCAATAAGATTAAATCAACAAGGACGGAGAATAAGAGCTTGAAGAACAGAAATAGAAGACGAATGAACCTAACCGCATCTCAAAGGAAAAACATAACTGCACGGAAATAGAAAAGCACCAGCTCGTGCAACTTCTGGATATACTACTCGCTCTAAAGACCAAAAGAAGTGCAAAGAGATTTTGAACTTGGTCTGGTAGACGCACTTTTAGGAGTGGTATGGGGGCGGCCATCCGGAAATACCGTGTGCATGATGATCGATACTGAGCACAGTACTGATGTTTCCATATTGCTATTAAGAGCCAGGTCTTCACTGGGGGAGAAAGATGTAAACACGGAATGGGAGGACGTGGAAGAACCCCACGGGAATAGAATCGAATCGAAAGTGTCAGCGCGGATTCGTGATTTTAACAAAAATCTATTTCCTGACTCTGTCCACTGAGACTCTCCGACAGCAATGAGCACGTCAAACACCCAGATCTTGGCTTTTGAATAGCATCCTCTTCCAAAGAAGGTGGGGGGAGTGGGGCAGGAAGAGTGCAAGATGAGTCTGGACTGCGTTGGTGGGTCAGGAGGTAAGCTAAGTGCTCCAGGAAGGAGGGGGGACTTGTGTCAGAGATGTAGGAACCAGCCCGAGGGGCGCTGGGCCAACCTGGAGTCCTGTGAGCATCAGCAACTGAATGAGCTCAAATTCATAGAGACAGGAAGTGTGGGGGCCT